GCTCTTGTCGCTGTTGTCGCTCACTTCGCCTATACCCCCCGCCTTGACTACGCCATCGCTCTGGTCTCTGGCCCTCCCTGCCCTCCGTCCGTCGGGGGTGCTACTGCCCTTGGCAATGACGTCCTAGAGGATAGGCAGTACGAGCTTGCTTTCCTGTCCGAGGCTGCTCCCAATCTCAGTTCCCTGTTGCTAGTCCCTGAGGGTGACCCAGATGCGTTTGACATCCCGACCCCTCGCACTTACGCTGAGGCGACCTCGAGAACCTGGGCCTCTCAGTGGATAGCTGCCATGGAGCAGGAGATGGAATGTTGGAGATCCACCGGCACCTACGTCGACGCAGTTCCCCCACCTGGGGTGAACGTAGTCGATGGCCGATGGCTCTTCAAGGTGAAGTGCCCTCCTGGAGAGCCGCCGGTGTTCAAGGTGCGCTACTTGGCTCGAGGCTTCAGTCAGCGCGAGGGGGTGGACTACTGTCAGACCTTCGCCCCGACCCCAAAGATGACTACCCTTCGAATACCAGCACGTAGCAGCACAGTGTGACTATGAGCTCCACTCCCTCGACTTCTCTATTGCTTTTCTTCAGGGCAGCCTACACGAGCAGGTCTACCTCCGCCGTCCACAGGGCTTCACAGGTATCTTCCCGGCTTGGACCCAGTGGCTCCTCCGGCGCCCGGTCTACGGCCTGCGACAGGCGCCCCGTGAGTGGCACGACACGCTGCATGCTACACTAGCTGACCTGCAGTTCTTCCCGTCCTCTGCAGACCCCTCGCTCTTCATTCGTTCCGGCCAGAATCCGTTCTACATCCTTGTTTACGTAGACGATCTGGTCTTTGCCACTACAGACAGAGACGCACAAGCCTCCGTGAAGGCCGAGCTGCTGAGGAGACACACCTGCACTGACCTAGGAGAGCTGTGCCGCTATCTTGGCTTGCAGATCTCCAGGGACAGAGCAGCGCGCACCATCACTCTCACACAGTCACACTTGGTGCGCCAGGTCCTTCAAAGGTTCGGTCTTCAATTCTCCTCCGCACAGCCCACACCCCTGCCAGTAGACCAGAGGCCCTCAGCTCCAGTTCTTGAGGAGTCAGTAGAGCCTAGTGGTCCTTACGCAGAGCTGGTCGGTTGCCTCATGTACCTGATGACTTGCATTCGTCCAGATCTTGCATACCCTCTCAGCATCCTGGCTCGCTTCGTGGCCACAAGCAGACGCGGACCACAGCACCGGTCGGCCGCTAAGAGGGTTTTGCGTTAGCTAGCAAGTACATCGAGCATGGGGCTAGTACTGGGAGGACGCAGGCCAGTGGTCCTTACTGGGCACAGAGACGCTTCTTGGGCAGACGACGCCGAGACCCGCAGGTCTTGTCAGGGCTATTGCTTCAGCCTTGGTGAAGGCGCGGTCTCGTGGAGGTCCACCCGTTCATCGTCAGTTGCACAGTCCAGCCGCGAGGCTGAGATCTACGCTGGTGCCATGGCGATACAAGAGCTCCGATGGCTGACTTTCTTGCTCACAGACTTAGGTGAGCGGCCTAGCTCTACCCCACTTCTGTACCCTGACAGCAGGTCCATTATCCTCCTGTGTCAGGAGCATTGACTTGAGGGCAGAGCCAAGCACATCCAGCTGCGGTACTTCCTCCTGCGCGAGCTACAGCAGCGGCGCCAGATCTGCTAGCTGGCACCACGCCGTGACATTGGCTTGTGTGTTGCAGACATGTGCGCTTAAAGTTTCCTGACTGGTGGAGAGAGAAAGAGAGAGGGGGAAGGGGGAAGCGGAAAGTGAAAGGGATGCGAGAGGGAGTAAGGGAAGGTGAAGGAGAGGGGAGAGCAATTTCAAAAGGCAAGCGGACTGCGCTGGACAGATATAAAGCACCTCCTAAAGCACCTCAGAAGGCCAAAAACAAGAAAAGAGAGGTGATGGGAGAGTGCGACGAGGAGAGGTGATGAGCATAGGGGAAAACCGCACCCTAAGGAATGGAAAAGCTGAGAGAAGAGGAGTGCGAGGAGACGAGGGCAGACGGTAGAGGGGAGGAGACATCATAAGTGAATGGGACGATAAGAGACACAGCAAGTGGACGAGAAAGGGAGGCAGAGCAGCTAGGGTGGAGAAAGTTTGGAGAGGATGGGTGCGGGGCAGGGATGGGTGTAAGGGCGACAATGCTCACATGGCAACGCCGCACCCGTTGAGGAGGGATGCTCACAAAAGCTTGACTGATGAGAGTTGTGGAGGAAAGCGGGGAGCCAAGGGACCGGGAAGAGAGCATCACTGGCTGATTCCCAGGGATGGCACAGGGCAGGAGAGAGGAGACGGACGAGGAACTGACAATGGTAGGATCAGGGAGGGCGATGATGAGCTTTGCCAGCTGGAAAGAAATGCATGGGCAGCCGATTCCATGAGGGAAAGGAGATGAGGAAATGACACGGGGGGACCTTGGGAGCGGGCCAAACGGGTTGGGAATGCAAGGAGGGGACAGAGGAAAGAAAGGAGCCGGGAGGCACGAGAAGTGCAGTTCAGAAGAAAGGAGCATATGAGTGGACGAGGAACGCACCGAGATGAGGGAACGGCGTGGCAATAGGAGAGAATGGGAGACGAGAGGGATCATCATAAGCAGGTGCAATATTAGGAAACAGGAGAGGCCAGATGAGGAGGGAGAGCAGGTAGGGTGGACAAAGATGGGGTGAGGATGCAGCTTAGATGCGGGGAGGAGATGGGTTCGGGGGAGCATGCTCAACTCACATGCGGTAGCAGCGATGGGTGGGGAGAGGCCAGACGAAGGGCGAGCAGAGGAGTGGGGAAGGGGGCCATGGTTCACTTCACGGCATACGTGGCTGCCCTCATGCCCTCATGCCCTAAGAAAGGAGACGGGCGAAAGGAGGTGAGCGAGTGGAATCCGTCAAGTCATCATGTACTTCGCGAAAAAAACAAATCCAGTCAACAGGTCACCTTTTGCGACGTTGCTAGAAGGCCTTGACAAAATTCAATATGGCTCCTCAATGTCATGGCCGCATATTTCAGTGGTTTGGGTTCTCGTACGGGGATGCGGTACACATTCCCTGAAATGTGTTTCAAATTATAAACATTGGGAATCAGATTACCACGTAAAACGAACGACTCGCCTTAGTTGGTAAACATCCCCACACACAAATGTGGGGTTTGTGTACTACAAGCCCCCATCTCGCTGCGGAACCGTGTACCCCCGCCCAACAAATTTGTTTCCCCCTTTGCAGCGCCCGCCCACATTTTCCGATTTGGGTCTCCCCCGAATTCAACCCTGTTCCGCCCCTTGTAGCGCCATCGCTGTTCCCCCTGCAGTTTTGACCCCCTGCCCCGATTTCGTTTCTTCCCTCCATCCGCCCCCCCGCCCCTCACTGTCGAATGTTGACTTGCACCCGCCCCTCTGCTTTCTCGCTTCAGTTGTGACGAATTGACAGGTCTCGGCACTCTCGCTGTCCAATCAGCATTCATCCTACCTAGCGCACACTGTAGCATTCATCGCATTCCAGGGAATGTGTACACCCATTCTTCCTTACACTCCATGTCACTTACCGAGCCGCGGCGAAATGTAACTTGGAGGGCTATTGCTGCTGGTGACCAGACGGCTGCTGACCGGGCGGCTGCTGACCGGGCGGCTGCTGCTGTCGCTGCTGCTGCTGTCGCTGCTGCTGCTGCTGCTGCTTTGGCTGCTGCGCGTGCTGCCACATCAGCTGCTGCGGCTTCTTTGTTGTCCTTATGCTCCTACTACACCTCTCGTCCGATTTCGTCCAAAACTGTTTCGACACGTCCGGTGCTAACGACCTCCTCTTGGGCGGCAGCTTTCTGGCGCGAATCCTCTCACGCCTTGCGTAACTCGTCAACTTCTGCACAAAGTCGTTCGTTGTCCTCCAGCGCTGTAGCCATGCGTGTGTTCATGGCGTTGGATGGCTCCCGGAGCTCGTTGAACTGAGCTTGGTCCATTTGGCGAATGCTCCGCCGGGGCAAGGGGAAATCTGTAGTGTGCCTATACTCAGGTAAGCGCAAACGCTATCGTAGTTGGGCGAATGAATCAGTTTAATTCGCAGGCAACCACTTTGCACCTTACGTAAGGGACCTACCCCCCCCCCCCCAAAAAATCAACTCACGAAAACGGGTGAGCGAGGAAAGTGGCTCTGAATACCAGGTGTTATGAATGAACAAGCAGAGAAGCGCGGAAATGAATAATGAAGTGTTGAATTACTGAATGACGATACAAGGAATGGCAAGCCAAGATATAGGAACACCAGAGCTAGTCTAACCATGAGATGTGAAGGTTCGGGAAAGAGATCGAAGGGTCTCGAAGTGACGAAGCAAGGACTGGAGAACTCCCAAAGGTCGAGCTAGAAGGTCTGGAAAAGCCGATGCGATTCTGTAAGAAAGGTCCAGAACCGTCCCGAGGCTTCAGGTGTGTTCGAGCGTACGCGATAGAAGTACCGCTCGGCAAGGAATAGAAAATTCCTTACACTGTACTTATCGGGATTACATGGCCGGAACGGGTAACTGTTCCCTCATCTGAATTATTCATGAACGCTTAGGAGACGCCTTCAGGTTGAATCATTCCGTTAATTGCTTCTCGAAGCCGTATTCTAGCGCGTACATGGTGCCCCTCCCCAGCCAGCGCTCTCCATCCATCCTGCCCTCGGCACCGACTTTTCCTCCTTGGCATCTAGCTGGGTTTCAGCCTACTCCATTTTCCAGGGGCTTCAAAAATAGCACTGGCCTCCCGCCTTGCCAACGTCGGGGTTGGGTTTCAGCCCTGTCGAGCTGAGATCTCGCGATTGAGAGAGCTTCGGTACTCCCATCAGAGATTCCGCATTTCGTTCCCCCATTCCCGCCTAAAGCGCGAAAAATATTCCCATCAGAAGTTTTCCGTCAGCGCCATGGCGTGGATCACGCTGAGCGTGCCTCCACCAGCCTTCAGAACCTCCATCGAAATGCATCACAGCTTCCCCGGCTCCCTCCCTTCATTGCATCGCAACGCCATACCACGCATCACTGCTTCTCTCGCTGCGCTGGACAGAGTCTCTCACTCCCCACCCCGACTCGCTACGATTCACGTTCACCGTCGTCGATTTCCTCTCCTGTGGTTCTAAAGTCGCCGCTTACTAGCAACTCGTATCAGGTAGCGCTTTGAGTTAGCGTTCCCCTTCGTCGAATATAGGCCATGGATCCCACTCGTGGAACGGACGCTGCTGTCGCTGCTCACTGTGCAGCTGCACGATCATGTCGCTCGACCTCTCGCGCCGGCAGGGAATCTCCGCCTCGCAGTTCGTCAGCACCGTCAGCCTCGCGCCCAATCTCACGTCTCTTCAGGTCGCCCTTTCCGGCACAGACCTTATCACGGACGCCTTCATCGCGCTGATCGCACAAGTGTGTCCCCGCCTCGAGCGCCTATCGCTGTTCGACAACCTGCGCTATGGTGGTGCTGAGCACCACGTGTGGACGTCCGACGGGCTTGGCTCGCTCTTCCAGAGGTGCACGCAGCTGAAGGACCTCTCGCTTGCCTGCCCGCCCTCCGTCACCCATCTCCCTGCAAGCATTTTCCAACTGGCTGGGCTCGAGCGGCTCCAGATTTTCTCAAAGCTCATTGTCAACCTGCCAGAGGAGATCGGAGGGCTGCAGGCGCTAAAAGCCCCTCCACGTGAACGCACCTCGGCTCACAGCTCTGCCCGACAGCCTTAGCGACCTCTCCAATCTGCAGGAGCTGTCGCTCCAAGGCTGCTCGGATCTGACATCGGTACCTGAGGCAATCGGGCAGCTCCTGAAGCTGCGTGCATTTCCCGCCAGGGACTGCAGCACGCTTCGCTCCCTCCCTGATGCTCTCTTATGCTGCACCACCATGGAGTCCTTGGACCTCGACCTGCCCAACCTGGCCAGCCTGCCGGAGAGTATGAGCCAGCTGCAGAGCCTGCGGCGTCTCATTGTAGACAGGGGCTTCAGAGCTCTAAGGCTCCCCGCGTCCTTCACGCTGCTGTGTGCCCTCGAGGAGCTGACTCTGGACGTGTGCCTCCAGCAGCTGCCGGAAGGCTTTGAGACTCTCACCAGTTTGCGAAGGCTGGAGCTGAAATGCTCTGAGCTCACTCACCTCCCTTCCTCTCTGCTGCAGCTCTCCCTCCTTGAACACCTTGCGATCGTTGGATGTGATCAGATGGTGTCTCTGCGAGACACCATAGGGCAGTTGCCAGCACTCAGGGTTCTCCGCTTCTCCTTCTTGGGCAATCTCGAGAGCCTTCCGGATTCCATTGGCCAGCTGCAGCAGCTGCGATCGCTCACAATCGAATGCTGTGATTGGCTCCACGTGCTGCCAGAGTCCCTGGTGCTGCTCAGTGCCTTGGAGACACTCGAGATTCTCGACTGCCGAATGCTCTCCTCCCTCCCCGAAGGCATCCACCTCTTGACGAGCCTTCAGCGGCTGGAACTCTGCGAGTGCCCCGAGATCTGTGAGCTGCCTGACAGCATCTCCCTCTACAAAGCCCTCGAGTGCGTTTCCATTGTAGAGTGCCGCGCTCTCACAAACATTCCTGTAGGGATTCGGCACCGAGTAAGCGTGTGGATGATGTGTGATGTTCGTTAGTGTAGTAGCTGTAAAATGGGAGCCGATGGTGGGGACTATGATGGATTTACGTTATGTGTTCATTTCTCAAGGTAATAAAGTGAACTAGGAAGGATGGTACATGGTAGTTTTGTGCTACGTATTGTACTTGCTATGGCATGCACGTGTCTAGGCTGGGACGATATACATCAATATGTTGACAGACCCCCTAGCATTTCTGTAAGTACCATAATCCCCCGTATACAACACCCTATGGTTAATATAAAAATTCACGAAAATAATGACAGGGTCTTAACAGTGGCCCGAAAAAATAGTGCCCATGTGTTATGTAAAATGCAATTTGAATTTGAGTGTACCAGGCCATGTTAGCTCACAACTGCACGGAGCGGCTGTTAACGAGGCATATCCTCCGCTGAGACGAAACTTACGAATCAAGTGTCATTGGCCAATCCCTGTTGAGTGCTGTGGTCTGGGCCAGCTTCGTGCCGCACCTACGACCGTCAAGACCTGAGAGGATTTCGATCAGGAGGATTTTGACCGTCAAATCACAGTAGAATCCGCGACTTTGACGGTTGAAATCCTCCCAAATCTCAACCTTCGCTGACGTTCCCATTTCGCGCTGCAACTTGTGTTGATTCTTATGCCCGTTTTTTTCGCTGCTAATGGTAGTTGACATTGCATTTTTCATCCTGCTTGTTTTTTTCAATCGAGAGGAGCTTGAAAAACGACGGAATACTGTTATTTGCTGCATAAAACGAGCAGGGTGTTATGTAAAATGCAACCCCCAAAAAGTGGGTGCTCTCCTAAATGCACCTTATCATAAGCTCTCCCCCGCATAAAGCACCCACGGAGTGACTATTTCGGCAGGTGTTATATACGGGGGATTACGGTAGGTGTTAGAAGGCTAACTTACTAGGAAGGAAGGTGGCCATGAAATGGAATAGAAGTGATTTGGAGATGGCTATTAGTTTAGTAGCTAGAAGAGGAAGTTGAGGAGCGAAAAGGAGTGGAATAGAAGAGAGAGAGAGAGGCATACAAGGAGGGAGTTGTACCCTCTACAGTAGAGTTCAGTAACACCTACCAAGCCTACAATTATATAACAAATATAATTTAACACACCCCCCAGGCTTGGTAGTGGCAAGCCCACCCCACACAAAGCACCCCCACACCCTTGCACCCCCATGCCCTTCAGCAGCAGTGGCGGTTGACAGCGCGGTCGACCTCTCCACGGGCAGGGCGGCGACGTCAACCGCGAGGGTGCGGTGGCGACGACGGCGGCGGCGGCAGTGACGATAGCAGCGGCGGCGGCAAGTAAGGCCAGCGGCAACAGCTGCGGCGGCGGGGGCTTCGACAACAGTAGCGGCGGTGGCAGCGCTCGCCCCACTCAGCGGCGTGGCCAGTCTCTGCGACGGTGGGACGGCCGGCGCGAGTCAGCCGATGGCTGCGGCGAGGAAGAGGGGACGCAGGAGAAAAGGGGGGGGGGAGCGGGGCTTCTGCAGCGGAGCCCGGTAGCGTGCCGCCCTGTGCGGTGAGGTGGCTGCATGCGGGCGCGCTGGCCAGCGCTAAAACGGGGCGCTGGCCGCTGCCGTCCGCGCCGTCCGCGCGCTGGCTGCACGTCGCCACGGCTTTACGACGACGACGCCGCCACGGCTTGACATCGACGCCAGGACAGCGCGACGCCATGGCAGCGCGCCGAGACGGCCACGGTTGTACGACGCGGCCGGCGGCACAACGACGCCGCCACAGCAGCACGACGCGGCCGCCATGGCAGCGCGAGAGTGAGAGGAGGAGGAGTGCATTGCGGAAGCGTGGGGAGCAGGCCCACGACGGGCAACCCGCTCTAATACCATGTTAGAAGGCTAACTTAGCTAGGAAGGAAGGCGGCCATGAAATCGCGAGAGGTTTAGTAGCTAGGAGAGGAAGTTGACGAGAGAAAAGGAGTGGAATAGAAGAGAGAGAGGCATACAAGGAGGGAGTTGTACCCTCTACAGTAGAGTTCAGTAACACCTACCAAGCCTACAATTATATAACAAAATAATTTAACAGTAGGTTCCGATAGATATTATCGTAGAATGACGTCAGCAAATAGCGCTCGTCTTGATGGTTACGTCAGCAGGCCGTTTCAGTCACGCGAACAGTCACGCTCCTTTCAGTAGCGCTTAAAGCGCATAGCGCAAATAGTTTGAACAGATACATAACCGAACAGGTACTTCTAGCAGATATAAGAATAGCTTGTATGACTTCAGTTATCAACTTGTTCTTGAGTAAATTCTGGACAATACTTACAAGTTCTAAGACTTCCGCTGTCTTACTAGTCTACCATTCTAGCAAATATCCTTGTTCAAGTCTTGAAGTATTACAAGGCTGTAATACTGATTCTGGTGTTACAACTTGTTAATATTTGCTGTTACTGGAGGTACTTCCAGCAGCAGTGAAGCAGACGAAGCTGAGCTGCAGAGTAGCAGTGAAGCAGAAACAGGGGTTCTCATCAGTCAACCTACAGCAAACTCAACAGAAACAGAAATCAAAGAAGGAGAGTTAGTTCTTCAACCAGAGGAAATTCTCGACGTGGAAATTAAAACCACTTAGTTACCTCTTACCCGCTTCGTTCCTGGACAACTCGACCAATCACTCACGATTTCTCCTTTCATCATTTCTTCGTTTTGTACTAGCGCCGATTTTTATCTGTGATCAACAGGACACAAAGCAACAGAAGACATATGGCATCAACGGTTCCTTCTCCAGGGATTCTTAATCATAGTATACGAGCTTCAGTTCTTGACAAGAAAGCAACATAAGACATACGGTCATCCTTCTCCAGGGATTCTCAATCATAGTATACGAGCTTCAGTTCTTGACAAGAACAGCTTGCTCTTACCAGATGGAACCGAGATGAATCCGTCTTCATGACCAACGGTTTGCACAATATGCACAACTGCTAATCTTCCTTACGAAACATTTCCAAGCCACTTTCCGGGATCGACTCGCTACACACTTATGCAGAAAGCTTACGGCGAAATCCTAAACTTTCCTGACGCAAGACCTAAGAGGGGAGCTTTATATGATCTCGTTTATCGAGGCTTCTACTCGATATGTTTGGACCGTCAACATACCAGCTCGACACATGGCTCACTCCATCTCCGTCGCGTGGCTCGTGGTGGCTGAAAGAGAATCGAAGGAGAAACCACAAGAGTTTCAGAGTGACGGAGCAGGGGAGTACACAAGCACAACCTTCATTGACTACCTTCAAACCCTCGGTATCAAGCGCCGGTTGTCTCTGCCACATCAACACCAACAAATGGGGGTTGCGGAAAGGATGAATTGGACTTTACAAGAGAAGATGCGAGTCTTGCTGACTCAAGCAACCATACCACCGCATTTTTTGCCTTATGCTTTAGACCATGCGGTTCTTCTGCACAACTTGCTGTCGACAAATTCCCTTCCACAATTTTCTTCGCCACACTTGCAGTGGACAAAAACAGTCGGCAATACAAAACTTTTAAGAGTTTTCGGGTGCATCGTCCAATACCGACCTCCGACATCAGCACTGGGGAAATTTTCGGAACGCGCTAAGTGGGGAATACATCTTGGCATCGAGAAGCAGTTTTACGTTGGGAAAATTATGGATCTTCGCACGAGTCAAATCGTATCAGTACGTGATTGTCTTTTTTATGAATGACTCACCTTACCTGTTTTTTGTGCTCACCTGGCAGCAGCTGCCAATCCTGCCACGCTGTTCGAAGGCTCGCATGCTTTTGCTACTGACGAGGCCGAAGCAGACGTACAAGATGAATCCATTGCCGAGTTTATCCCACGCTTTGATGCCGACCCTGAAGATGTCTGTGATGTCGCACTTGATTACGAACGTGACCGCCAGCAGCAGCCAATGCCCGTCGACTCCGAAGCAGCTGTCCGTGTAACACCTAACAAAGTTGGGGGGGAACAGGGATCAGAACACAACTTCTCCGG